AATCATTTTATTCCAGTATTACTTTTAAAACGCTGATTCATTCTGAGACAAAGCAAATATGCATTATGCGTGGTGTTCTGCGGTTCTGCTTGCTTGGCAGTCCAAAAACAGACAAAGTCACCGGCAGTGTTGTGTCTAAAATGTAAGCTTCTCAGTGTTAACTTCTTATATTGTACTGTTATATAAAAACAGTATCACACTGCCTCATTGTTACACCGATAACTTCTCAGAAACTGACCAAGCCGTTGGTTTGACAGATAAGAGTGTTTTTGGGCCACTTCTTGATTTTTCCTTATACTTGTCCATTAAACTTAAATATACATGTCTTGGCCGGTCTTATTTTGCGAGTACTAAATTTGGTTACACGTTATTTTACATTTATTTATTCAAACAAGGTGAAATCCAAAATCCAAACATAATCCAAACATAATCCAAACAAGATACACAGACTTGACTGGACGAGGCATGAACAGACTTGACTAGGCATGAACAGATTTGACGAGGCACAGACAGACTAGACTCACCGACAGCGGGTTACAACTTCAATACACAACCAGAGACAATGGCAACATGATGGCTACTTATATCAGACAAAGAGGGTCACATGACAAGAACAAACCAATGGGAAACAAGACACATGACTAAGACAACCAATCAGAACATGACACAAAGAACAGAGGAACCAATGGCATGAAGACAAGAGGGCAAGGGAAGCATGACACTAACAGCATGAAATTATTCCAAAATAAAAGACATGAGAACATGACACAAAAACAAAACCCAAACCCCACAAATATTCATTTCATAAAGGCTGTAGTACTGTGAGAAACATAAATTAAATAGAAATGTAAATTTTCGCTGCTCTAGCTGTCTCCCCACCCAAGCTGCAGTCTTGAAGTGTAGCTTGCCCACCGTCCATTTTCAAGCGCAGTGGGCACACCTAGCAAACTTACTGAAATCACACTGAAACAAATGGCGGGTAGGTCTCTGTCTTGGTCGGGGGTGAAAGAGGGAGAAATAAGGATGACACAGATATGTAGTTTATGCACGACCTGGAAGTATTTATTCAGCGATCGGCTCTAAAACATCATCTGTACAGAACACCATTGTGTACGGAACATGGTTAGTCTACGTTAAAATTAATCCTTATGAATATTGAAATCGCGGCATTAATTTTATTATTAGCTGTTTTTAGTTGTCATATCAATTACCTGGTTTTAAATTGCATTATTAAATTGTTTACTCCTTTACTTAATATGAAATGATAACATTTTGTTTTGATTTCTGCTGCCAGCTCATTTCCAAGAATAGGCCTATGTAATGTTAAACAAGACTTCACTTTAAACCTTAAAATAAATAACATTTCTGCAATCGTTTAACCTTTGCTTGTCATGTAATGTTTACTTTGATTACCATGAAAAGCAATAGGCGCAAAAAAATGCAAAAGGCGTTTTCATGCAAAAGGCGTTTTCTCCGACATGCTGTGAGTGACAATAGAACTATAAAATACACCAAAAACGCAACATAATTACGAAATGAAACAATTTTATCTGTGCGCTGTAATCCAAATCTTCTGAATCCATACGACTGTGAGGAACAGACCCAAATCCAAGCCTTTATTCGGCGATCTTCATCTCCGTCCCGAGCAGCGAGTCCAGTGACCGTAAGCAGCAAAGTCCACGGTGACTGACGCGCTCTTTACAAATTCAAATGTTGCCGCTTCAAACGACTGGTTTTACGGCAGGATAATCGAACGCTCATTGGCTCTCGCCTGCATTCGTCACAGATTGCGACATGCCGTGTTTCTGGTGAGGTGTGTTTGAATGATGCGCGCGCCTTCACGAGTTCACGGAGTGGATCGGGAAAATAATCTGGATAATATTTTCAGCGATTAACAACATAAAT